CAGAATTAGAAATTTTCATTAATTTTATTGTTGTTCTGAGCAGCCATTTTGCAAACATGCCATTGAGGAAACACATTTTTCGTTTAAAAATTTCTTTCTTTTCATTAATTAATAACTTTCATTAATTAATAATTTTCATTAATTCATAAAATTTCGTTCTTTTTGTTTACGAACGAAAAGAACGAAATTAAACTCTGACGGAATATACCTGCTATACGGTACATGTATAATAATAATTAATATAATATCAGCTGCTACTGTATAGTGGAAACCACTGATTATTAATTAAATTCATTTATATAATTATTTTCAATTATTATGTCAGTTAATAAAGCAAATCTGGTGAAATAATATCCTATACCAAAAGGCTATACTGTTAATTTATAATTATTATATTCAATATGTACAAATTGTGTATATTCAATACATTTGTATTTACATGTACTCACTGAGTTCAATAACTGCTGTATCTCTGTATGACGTCTCTCCTCCAAACACAATTATCCAGTTAGTGGTTGGCGTCACGCTCCACAATGAGAGAGAATGATAACATCTAATAGTGACATTCTTTGGTATATCAAACTATAAAGGAGGATTATAATAAATATAATTTGTAATATTCATTGTCACGTACTGTACATGTACATGTATTGTTATTAAAATTTGATTAACTCATTCCTCAATAGTTTATCCAAAACCATAAACTCCACCCAAAATGTCTAAACCACACCCACAATATAATGTTATACTTACCAGTTCCTTCCATGATTTATTTTTAATATCAAATATCCAAAGATCAGAAGTACCACTCCCACCCACCACTAGTAGGTGTGGTCCTGAGCTAGTGTTAATCAATACACTGGAATGAGAATGTCTTCCCTTAGGCCATTGTACTGATCCTCCAGGATTAGATAACTTTAAACAATTCTAAAAGTAATAAAATTTAATTTAATTATGATAAACCATACCCACACACTTATGAATAATTAATTAATACTTAATATAATTATACTAATAATACACTCACCACTGATGTATCAGTAAAATTAAGAATATATACATTGTTACTGAGTCCATTAGCAGTGTTACCTCCAAATAATATAGCACTGGAATTATTAATTGATGTTAAAGTGAAGTAATAAATAGGAGGTGGTCTGTCTCCAGTGACAGTTGGTGATATCCAATCACCTAAAATAATAAATATATATAATATAAATAATGATCAGTTTGTTGATTATAAATAAAATACATTATTAATATTATTATGTGTTGTTATACTGACCTGATGAGAGTTTATAAAAATGTACTTCATTATTCCTACCATAACCACTGTACTGGGCACCAGGTTGTTCTGGTGCATTATTAGAAGATGGTGCCAATCCTCCAATTACTACAAGATAGTCCTCACCGTTCACTTTTATTGCTATCATGTCACAGTAGCCCTTCATCATAGGACCATGATGAGATGTAGTAGGAGAGAGTTCCTTCCAGTTGAAGGTATCAACATTAAAACTGTATAAAATATTATATACCGTATAGCGGGATTTATTGACGAGTAAAAAATTTGACGAAAACAGTAAATTTCTCCGGTTGGTGAGTTTTAATTTGACGAATAGTGCCCTTTGTGTACACGTGGCACAAAGTACAAAATTTTTGACGGTTATTAAATTTGACGTTTTATTTTAAATCGTCAACTAGTCAAAATAAAACCTTCGTCAGTAAATCCCGCTATACGGTAATATTTATCAGTAACTATCATGTTTACCTGTATAAACTATTATGACAACAGCCATCATGACCACAATAGCCTCCAAAATAGAATATTTCATTTCCAATGGCAGAAGCTGCATAACTCCTAACACCCAGTGGAGGGTTACCAGTGGTGGGTTTCTGCTCCCACCTACCAGTCACCAAGTGGTACACCTCCATCACAGAACACATTGATTTCTTCTTTTCATTATTATGAACTCCAGGGAGATCAGGCTGGAGCCCACCCCAC